CCCAACGTGCCCGACGTGATTGCGTCACTTCCGGGTGACGTAATTGCAGTCCGTGCACGCTTTGCGCACGCGCATGGACTCCCAGAACAAGACTGGACTCCCCCAATCTTCAACAGGTGAGGACTTGGCAACCCTAACTGAGCTAAGACAAAAAAATGTGTGAGCCGGAGGCTAAAAAACTGAGCTAGGTCACACTAACTCAGCTTAGAGGGGACATGGCTTGTGACCAGTGCTTGCAAATACATAATGCATTTGCAAGCACTGTTGAGTAGTAAGGCAATCACGGTTTAATCTCGTTTGGCACAGTTGTTTCTGTAATTCTCTCTCTTTGTTTATTCTGGGTTGGGAAACATCTGGAGAGGTGAGGGTTGGAGCCTGGGGAGGGGGTGTGGTTTGGGGAGGGGAGGGAACTCAGCAGGGTGCAATGCCACAGAGTCCGTCCTTCAAAGCAGCTGTTTTCTCCAGGGGAATGGACCTCTGTAGCCTGGAGATCAGCTTTGATAGCAGGAGACCTCCAGCCGGCACCTGGAGGTTGGCAACTCTGTGGCCCTCGCCACCTCTCTTTCTTATAGAGATGTTGCTGTTGATCAACTACAACAGTTCAAGCAAGGGAAGCAGGTTAGAAGGCCCTCCAGACCTTGATGCTTTGGTCAGTCCTACAGAACGGGCAGGGTTCCCAAGAAGTCAAACATGGCAACCGCAGCTCTAGAGCTGGAAAGAAAACATTGCGGAGCCTGCCATCTTGTGTGCTGACGGGAAAAGAGGCTTGGCAAGAAGAGCTGAGGAAGAAACAGTTTGCTAGGCTCTGTCTCTTTAATTCTGCATTGAGTTAGAGCTTCATATAATAATGTGAATGAGAAACCCTGTATTTTCAAACTGTGAAACTAAGCAGATTTCTCAAAGACAAAAACCTAGGGGGGGGGGGCTGTTGGTGGGCTTCTAAATTACTTTTGCAAGGCACTTACTTGAAAGCAAGTCCTTCTTGATTTACTGGAACTTGCCGTCAGCTAAGTGTGCATGGGATCGCATCCAGTTGCACTTAGTGCTACTTCGTTTCTGTAGGTATCATGTCACGTGAACTCATGATGCTGCCGTATACCGAATGAGACAGTTGGTCCATTGAGATCAGTATTGTCTGCTCTGACCGGCAGCGGCTCTCCAGAATCTCAGGTGGAGGTCTTCTACATCACCGCCCACCTGATCCTTTTAACTGAAGGTGCGGGGGCGAGGGGGAGGTTGAACCATGGACCTTCTGCATTGCAAGCAGATGCTCTGCTACCGAACCACACCTCTCCCTCTGTCGTATGCCCCCGTATCACATAGCTTCCATTTACTAGAAGGATATGTTAATAGTCGTTAATTCCCATAGCAAAGTTTGTGGCAGATTTCCTCACACTAAAGGGAAAAAAGGGGTCTAGCACATTTGTTCAGATCTTCTCATCTGCTCCTGACATGGCTAGTCATACAGGAAAACTCATTGAAAAGTTTTCTGATGAGCTACTCGCCCAGCATTTCAAAAGATAACCCCTTAGAGACCCGCCGAAATTGCTATAGATGTTAGCCAGCTGATCAAGGTGTAACGTGTGTTCTGTTCTCCTTTGTCATTAGGAGTGTGCCCCGGGCTATTACAGAGACACCAAGGGGCTCTTCCTGGGGAAATGTGTTCCGTGTAATTGCAACGGCAATTCAGATCAATGCCTCTCAGGGTCTGGAATCTGCATTGTAAGTATACAGAGTTCTTGCCAGCCTCCACTTCTCTAAAGGATTCCCTCCTCCATTTCCTGTATGTGTGGTCTCGTTGACACCATCGGAGTTGCTTACGACCGAGAGATGGTTTCAGGGCTGTTCTGCAGAATCGGCAATCCTTTAGCAAGCAGCGCCGTTCCAGGCAGTGATCCATCTGCTTTCGGCTACAGTGCTTGGGCTCCGTCCATCTCTGCACATCTCAAATAAAAAACTGTCCTGCCATTGTTTTATAGTACTCATAGAATCACAGAGTTGGAAGGGGGCCATACAGGCCGTCCTTTTATTTCCAAATAAAACTGACAGGTTATCATGTCCCACATCACCACGTACAGTGCATTTCAGCTTATCAGTAAGTACCTGAACACATAGATCAAGACTGAACTGTCTTAAGTAACTGATCTCTCAGGAGGACCAATCAAACAAATCATAGAATCTCATCATAGAATGAGAAAGTCGGAAGGGGCCATACAGGCCATCTAGTCCAACCCCCTGCTCAATGCAGGACCAGCCTAGGGTATCCCTGACGAGTCTTTGTCCAGCTGCTGCTTGAAGACTGCCAGGGAGGGGGAGCTCACCACCTTCCTAGGCAGCTGATTCTACTGTTGCACAACTCTTACTGTCAAAAAATGTTTTTCCTAAGATCTCGTCCGGTCGGTACCTTCCCGCTCTTAATTTAAACCCATGATTGCGAATCTTGTCCTCTGCCGCCAACAGGAACAGCTCCCTGCCCTCTTCTTAGTGACAGCCCTTCAAATACTTCAACAGAGCAATCATGTCTCCCCTCAACCTCCTCTTCTCCTATGTGACTCTCCCCTGCATTCAAATGCTTCATGTGGCATTGCATTGTGTTGATGATTGCTGATTTCTAGACACTTTCTAGGACAAAGTGAACTGTAATCCCCCTCCACTTCCTTAACGCTAAAAGGGTGTGTGTGTGTATCCCCCTCCACTTCCTTAACGCTAAAAGGGGTGTGTGTGTCACCCAATGATATTGATTGGCAGTAGATTCAAGACACACAAAATAAAGTTCTTCTTTATACTGTGCATATTTAATGTAAGGAATTCACTATCCTATGGGGTGGCAGTGGCCAGCAGCTTGGGTAGAAATTCCAGGCTCAGGAGCAAAGTACCTCGAGTTATTTATTTAGAGAATTTATATGATGCCTCCTCAGAGACCCTAGTGGAGGTGACTCACAAATTAAAATAAACGTTTTGGCCTGGTGCCCAAAGGAGAGTAAAGCAGGCAACAGGTGAGCCTTGGCAAGGGAGAGAGTTCCGAAAGTGAGGTGCCACCACTGGAAAAGCCCGGCCTCCAGTCGCCACCCTCCTCACTGCTGCAGGCAGAGTCACAGAGAGCAGGTCTTGGAAAGATCATCTTAAGTGACAGACTGGACTGTAAGGGAGAAGACATATCAGCTACTGAGGAGTAAGGAGTGAGAGAGTGCTGCTGTTTAAATACACCGTTTCTTTGGCATCCGAGAAGCCTTTGGCTGGCCATTGTTGGACTAGTTGGATTGCTGGTTTGATCCGGTGGTATCTTCATACAATCCCATGTAAAGGCATAGCCAAATATGCCCAAATAGGCTGGGGTGACAGAACTGTAACCACAGAGCTTTTGAAATGAGTTCCATTCTCTGCAGAACTGCCATTACAACACAGAGGGCGATCGCTGCGAGAGGTGTAAGGATGGTTTTGTGGCGAACTCTTCACTCGATGGATCTCTGCAGTGCATCGGATGCCCTTGTCCTCTTTCGGTTGCTTCTAACAAGTAAGCCTCTCATGCCGACCTCTCCCCCTTGATTAGTGTGTACGTCCCTGCTGAAACAGTTTCTCTTGTGTTGTGGGAAAGGATGAAATCGCCGGTCTTGTTAATCCTGGTTCCTTCGTTTTCTAAGACACATTTTCCGAAGCCCAGCTTTTGTTCATCCCAGCTGTCAGCTAGTAAGAAGAGGAAGGAATGACCAATATTAGGGACACTTCAGATGTTAAAGAAATAACGTGTTTGTATGCTGGAGGCTACTGGTTAGAGTGCGGGACGAGAGCTGGGGAGACTGGTTTGAAATCTCTGCTTGCCCTGAAACCTACCAGGTGACCTCAGGCTAGTTGTTGAGTTGGAACCCCCAGAGCATGCCGACTGACAAGGAAGATTTCCGTCAGCAGAACGTGACTGCTCTGCCTTCTTCAGCAGCCCAGAAATAACTCCCCAAATGCCGTTTCGGGGGTGTGTGTCCCTTGTCCCCTCCGAGAACAGTGTTTCTACAGTGGGAGAAGGGGAGCGAGATCATTGTGTTCCATCAGCAGAAAAACTCCATTAGATCCAAGTAGTTGTCTCTCAGCCGTACCTACCTCACAGGGTTGTTGTGAGGGCAAACTGGCTGCGGAGCAGGGGAATCCATGTACAGCTCTTGAGCTCCTTGGAGGAAAGGCAGGATAACAGTGCATGAAACGGAGGATACCATATGTGCCTGCAGTGGTGACCCATACCTGCTGCAGGGAATGTATGATGTAAGAAGTAGCCCTCCTGCAGTGCCTCGTTTGGGTACAATTTTACCTCCCTTATGAAGCAATAGTAATTCATTCGTTAATGCCAACAGTAAAATAATTCATTTCTCTACTGTTTACTTCAGGGAAGGAGGGGTTTTAAAGTACTGCTTTTCCCTGAGGTTTCATTCACCGTTGAAAAACATCAGGCGCTGCCCAGAGAAGTAAAATGAAAGCAAGATAGTTTTTATGATCCACAGAGTGTGCTGAGAAGACGGGAACCTTTGTGCTGAACAAGGTTCTAAGTCCCTGCCTAGTTTGGTCATCTCTGCATGGACTTGGGCAAATTAAATGCTTCTCATCCTTAGCGTTACCTCCATAAAGTTGGAGTAGCAGCCTACCTCAGTGGATGGTTGTGGGATGAGGAGATCTTTGTCAATATACATACCAAGAATTTGGGGGTGTTTTTTCCTCTCTGCATATTGTCACTAGTCAGTTAGCCTTTATTGGCATAAGAAAGAATTACAAATATATATATATAAAATGTGTCTAACTGGCTACTACACATTGAGAACAAAATAACTGCCATGGGTATCCCACAGGACTCATTCTTTATTCTCCCTTTTATGGGCACTTTTCAGATGATAAAACACAGAATCCTTGATATTGAACTACAAAGGCTATACAGCTTAACCAATAAATCTTGTTCCCTCCTCAACTTTGAGATTCTCCTTAAGGTAGGCCAAATGGCTTGATATTTCTCTGATATACAAGTTCCACAACAGCGTAGAGCCTTCTCTCTTGCAAGATAAAATTGACAATGCAGGCAAATATGTGAAACTGTCTCAACACATCCGGAGTTACAGTGGCAAAGTCTAGCCATATATACTGTGTTACTCTATTTCCCATGTAGGATTGCTGATGGTATTACATTGAATCTTGCAAGAGAGAAGGCTCTACGCTGTTGTGGAACTTGTAAATCAGATAAATATGAAATCATTTGGCCTACCTTAAGGAGAATCTCAAAGTTGAGGGGTGAACAAGATTTGTTGGCTAAGCTTTATAGCCTTTATATTTCACTATCAAGGATTTTGTGTCGATCCGCACTCCGGGGGCAACTTCGCTATTAGATATATAGATGAAATCATTTGGCCTACCTTACGGGGAATCTCAAAGTTGAGGGGTGAACAAGATTTGTTGGCTAAGCTGTATAGCCTTTGTATTTCACTGTCAAGGATTCTGTGTTGTATCATCTGAAAAGCGCCCCAAAAAGGGAGCATAAAGAGTGAGTCCAGTGGGATGCCCATGGCAGTTATTTTGTTCTCAGTGTGTAGTAGCCAGTTAGACACGTTTGACTCAGTGGGCATTTGTTGTATAAGGCTCCCGGGGTCTACACTGTAATGTAAACGCAGCCACGATTTTACCGTCATAAGCCACGCACCACATTCCACAGAATTCCATCCAGTTTTAGACATAATGCTGCATAAGGCACACAGCGTGGCATTCCCATGATTTTTCGGAGAAATTTAGATTGAACGTGTTCAGTGGAGCCATTAAGTGCAATTATCCATACTGGAATACCATAGAAGAGTTGGGGGGATTCTAAGAGGCAGTTCAGACATTAATAATAATAATATACTTTATTGTCATTGTACATAGTACAACGAAATTAAGGTGCAATCATTCGGTGATCTACAAGCATACTCATATACACTCACAAAACCATACTCATATACACTCACACAACCATTAGGGTTCACATTGCAACTTAACCACCAATGTCAACAAAACCACCAAATTCCAATTCATACAGCATTTAAAGCAATAATAGCTCTCGAATAAAAACTGTTTTTTAATCTGTTTGTCCTTGTTTTGATTGTCCTATATTCAGGAAAGTAACGTAATACAGTCCTCCTGATGCTGTACAGTCCTCCTGTAATGAGTTTGGGAAATAAGTGCATTTCAGAGGCCCTCCTGTCCAAAGCTCCCTGCACATAGAAAGGCAGAATGTGAAGAAGAAAGGTTCTCCCTGAAGAGCTAGTTTTCCATGCAAGGAGTATTTGATCTGGGGCACAATTCAAACGTGATTTTCTGAAGAGGCAACATCTCAGGAAGACATCTTCTCTCAGTGTTAGCACTGAAGTCTTTCTCAGCAAGGCATCTTGCTGTCGCTGAGTGTTGGACTTGTACGCTCCCTGAAGCCTCGTTCAGCTTTGTGATGATATTTCACTGACCAGATGCTCAGTCTGCCTTGGACTTCTTTTTCTTGCTTGGCAAGTATTAATAGTGCTTTTCTCTCTTACTCTTTCCCCAGCTTTGACATTGGTTGTGTCCACAAAGGCTCTACCACTCAGTGTCTCTGCAAGCCCGGCTACGCTGGAGTTTCTTGTGAACGGTAAAGTCATCACCTAGATCAACTGTGATGCTTCCCTCCCTGAGAAGCAGTCTGTTTCCCTGCCCCTTCCAATTCCCACGAACTCTGCTGCCACAAGAATCACACTGGATCAGCGTTCAGTTAAATCCAGTGAGCCTTTCCCTTGAAACGATTCATCTTAGGGTTCAGAAGAACTCTTGAGGAAACAATGTTTATACAATAAAATGGATAACTTTATCATAAGAAACATATATAAAGTTCAGAATATTCCTGTACTTCTTTCACCATGTAGCCCAGTACAGGAGAGGAAAAAAATGTAAACCAGTCAAAGGGAAGACTACAGTACAAAATACAAAACAATAAACCTTACTGATCCTATCCCAAGTATCCTCCTTTCTTTCCACAAAAGCCAGCATGGTGTAGTGGTTAAGAAGAGCAGACTCTAATTTGGAGAATCAGGTTCGATTCCAGTCCTCCTCCGCATGAGGCCTGCTGGGTGGCCTTGGCCCAGTCACAGTTCTCTCTGAACTCTCAGTCCCATCTACCTCACTAGGTGTCTGTTGTGGGGATGGGAAGGGAAGCTGCTTTGAGACTCCTTCTGATAGAGAGAAGTAGGGTATAAAACCTCTTCTTCTTCTTCTCCTTCTCCTCCTCCTCACTTTACCGAACCCAACCTACGAAGCCTAGCCCTTCCTGAACAAGAAAACAAACCCCTCTCTGAGTGTAGGGTTGCCAAGTGGCACTTACCTCCTCCGCGGGGGACTCCCGGGTGGCTCCCGGTGCGCGTGCGCCGCATGCACATCACTAGGAAGTGACGTTATGACGCCGGGCACGCTGGGGGCGGGGCCACGACCATACAAGGGAAAACCATAGAGTGGCCCCACCCCCAGCGTGCCCGGTGTGCCCGCGTCACTTCTTGGTGACGCACACGTCAGGGAGGAGTTCCCCCCGGGGCCTGATCCGGCGCCGCCGGGGAATGGGCCTTTGGGGCGGGGGTTTCCCCGCCCCCCGGGGGGACTTGGGATCCCTATCTGAGAGTCCTGATCTGTCTGTCTGTCTATCATCTATCAGTCATCCAATCAGAATGTTGACTCCTGGCTGTTTCTCATTGGTTCTTTCATTCTGCCACTAAAAGTTTCCTCTCTCTCTCTCTCTCTCTCTCTCTCTGTCTCTCTCTCTCTCTCTCTCTCTCTCTCTGTCTCTGTCTCTGTCTCTGTCTGTCTGTCTGTCTGTCTGTCTGTCTATCTGTCTCTCTCTCTCTCTCTCTCTCTGTGTGTCTCTCTGTCTCTGTCTCTCATACACACACACAATTACACTTCCCCCTCTTCCAGCCTCTTTCAGCCACTTGGTTTTGTCTGAGGGAGTCCAATGAGCCGCAGACACCTGCAGGCAGATATGAGAGCTAGACCCACAAGGAGGCTGCCATTTTGGCTCTTAACCGCTGAATGCTTATCTAGATCATCTGATAGGGGAGATGACAATGGATTGCAGATCTAGGGCAGCTCCAGTGAGACTGTACCTCTTGGAGTTCCTGAAGACCCGCTTTCTTTTTTGTCCATAGGTGTGCTCCAGGTTACTACGGGAACCCTTTAGTGATTGGAAGTACCTGCCAGCCTTGTAACTGCAATGGGAACACCGACCCCAACATGCTCTTCAGTGACTGTAACTCATTGGACGGATCCTGTACGGGCTGCATGCACCACACAGCAGGGCGCCAGTGTGAACTGTGTGCTCCCGGTTATTTTGGCGATGCAGTATTTGCAAAGAACTGCTCTGGTAAGTGTGACCCAGCATGGAGAACTGGCTGCACTCCTTATGCACCTGTATCAGCTCTGAAGGCAAGGTGCAAACAAAAAGTGCACTCATGAACTACAGTCGTGGGATATGGGAAACTGAGCCAAACCCACCTACAAAGCAACACACCAAACAATAAACCAAGAATCTATTACAAGAAGAGATATCATCCTAGTAAAACAATTCTGTTTCAGTAAGTATGTACATACGTGCCATCAAGTCACAGACAACTGATACAGACCCCAGAAAGGAGCTTTCAAGTCAAGTGAGATTCAGAGGTGGTTTCCCATGGCCTTCTTCTGCAGAGTCTTCCTTGGTGGTTCCCCCACCCAGGTACCGACCCGGCTCAGGTTGTGAGATCTGAGGAGACTGGGTTGTGCTGTGCTGCCATCCCTCCCCTATAATACATACATAAGAAATATGTGTTAAAAACACATCATACAGAACAAAGTAAGATTCAGGTGGTTAGCCATGTTGGTCTGAAGCAATAGAACAAAGTTTGAGTCCGATGGCACCTTTAAGGCCAACAAAGTTTAGTTCTGGGTATAAGCTTTCATGTACATTTACGTGTCTTCAGATATCTGAAAAAGTGTGCATGCACACGATAGCTTATACCCAGAACTAAACTTTGTTGGCCTTAAAGGTGCTACCGGACTCAAACTTTGTTCTATTGCTTCAGAACAACTCTGTCTTACTCTGTCCAGTCCAACTCTGTCCTATTCAGAACAACTCTGTCCTAGAAAAAGAGAATACATAGATAAACCTCATGTAGACCAAGTTCATTTCAAATAATCTTCAGTGGTTTCTAGAAAATGATATTGATTCACAAAAGTACATACACGTATATGGTAAAACACGATGATTATAAATGCAGTAAAAAAAAATTTCAAGCAAAGAATGTTTTATTGAAAATATTTTGTAACAGAATAACAGAAAGAACATTAATCAATATAATATCAAGGTTCCAATATAATATCAAGGTTCCATAAATACAGTAAATAGTTGGACTAAGCCCCTTCAATAACTCTTTACAGGCCTTGTTTTGGAAAACCGCAATATACCATTTCCACTGTATAATATATTGGCAAGGTCACTAAAGTGCCATCTGTCAGTAGCTGGTGGCATATGTTGACAAAAAGATAATTGGCCCCTGGACCCCGGCTCAGGTGCCACTTTCGGGCCTGGAAGTGCCCCATTCAAAACGAAGGTCGTCCCTCTGGGATGCTGCAGAGTCTTGGGGGGTGGGTGGGTATCTTGTTGCATTTCAAGCAGGGGCGCCAGCCAAATCTGAAGTAGTTCCTCATGCTATATGTAGCTCCTTGCAGGAATCAAAGGCGTAGGCATCTGATGACTCCACATGGGGCCTCCACCAGGTATAGAGGAAGTGACTTGCATATTGTGGAATACAGTATAAGCAGCCGCTGTGGAATCAATAAACAGACCTTATGGCCCAGAAGTGATAAGGTGGAAGTTTTTTAACCCTGTGGGACCAGAGCCTTCCAGCAGAAGTCATGCCCCATTCCCCGGCAGTTCAGCATGGGCGGGTCAAACACCACCACCGCCCGGTGAAGATGCTGGCCATCCCTGGCCTACATGGTGTAGCGGTTTGGTGTAGTGGTCAAGTGCGCAGACTCTAATCTGGGAGAACCAGGTTTTATTCCCCACTCCTCCACTTGCACCTGGCTGGATGACCTTGGGCAAGCCATAGTTCTGGCACAGCTGTTCCTGAAAGAGCAGTTTCTGTCAAAGTTCTCTCAGCCCCACCTAACCTCACAGGGTGCCTGTTGTGGGGAGGGGAAGGGAAAGGAGATTGTAAGCCACTCTGAGACTCCCTTAGGTAGTGAAGGGTGGGGTATGAATCCAATCTCCTCCTCTTCTTCTTCTTCTACATAAATTGATCAGGTGCTCCTGATTAATTGGACAGCAGATTTGGAATTCCCCCCCCCCCCTAAGATGCAGTTTCCCTGCTGTCTGCCTAGGTATCTCACACTTCAAAACAAATCATGCTTCCCCCCTCCCCCTCTGCCCTTGCAGAATGCCACTGTATGTCATGTGGGACTGAATCATGTGATCCTAGGACTGGCCAGTGTCTCTGTAAGCCCGGAGTGACAGGTCAGCGCTGTGACCGCTGCCAGGTAAGATGTGACTTAAGTATTCTACAGTGCCCCACCCAGACTCCCAGTACCCGTAAGTGTATCTTATTGATATTTCTTTCCTTGCTCTGTAACGTGACAGTTCTTGTCAACTGCAGTGGTGTGGACACAGTCTGAAACTGATGCCACTCGAAGCTTGAGAGTTGGGGCGTGGGGGCACAGCACTGATGATGAAAGTGGGGTGTGACCTGCATTCAGAACAGACGGCTCCCAGCTTCTTTTGCTTGGGAGGGCTGGTTAAAAAAAGGGGGGGGGGCAGCTGTGAAAGATGTTAATGGATGGTGGAGAAGGGCAGGGCGAGGGAAGAAGGTCTTTCTTCCATAGACCCTCCTCCCTCTCTAATGCCAGCCTAAGCTTCTTGCCCTTGAGTCGCAAGCTCTGTTGACATGCGGGGCACATTCTTCACCTGAGTTAAGAAAAGCCTGGCCTGGAACGGGAGGGGTCTGCCATATCCCCTCTCAGAACTTGCCTCTGTGCAAATGCTGTACGATTTGTATTTATTAAGCACTTCTGACTGACGCTGAACTGCAGGCTGTGGAAGGTCGGTAGTTCAGCAGTTCGAGACCCGGGTGCCACATGACGGAGTGAGCTCCCATCTCTAGTTCCAGCTCCTGCCAACCTAGCAGTTCGAAAGCAAGGAATTGCAAGTAAATAAATAGGGACCACTTCGGTGGGAAGGTAAAAGCGTTCCGTGTGCCTTGGTGTTTAGTCATGCCGGCCACATGACCACGGAAACGTCTTCGGACAGCGCCGGCTCTTCAGCTTTGAAACGGAGATGAGCACCGCAACCCTAGAGTCGGATTCGACTGGCTTTCGAGCAAGGGAACCTTTTACTATGATCTCTTTAAAAAGCATTAATATGGAGTAGATCAGCTACTGTAGCTCCCCCCCCCATTGTATCTGAGTCATGGTGACCCAGTGAGGTTTCCAAAGCAAGAGATTATTCAGAAGTGTTGGAATATATATAGATATATATGTGTGTGTGTGTGTGTGTGTGTGTGTGTGTAAATTCAAGTGGGTAGTCATATGGTTCTGAAGCAATAGAACAAAGTTTGAGTTGAGTGGCACCTTTAAGACCAACAAAGATTATTTCTGGGTATAAACTTTTGTGTGCATGCACCCTTCTTCAGATACAGATCTAAAGAAGGGTGCATGCACACAAAAGCTTATACCCAGAATTAATCTTTGTTGGTCTTAAAGGTGCCGCTCAACTCAAACTTTGTGTTGTGTGTGTGTGTATAAAATCGAAGTATATTATATATATATACATATATATTACATATTAATGCTTTTTAAACACACATATATTATTTGTATGTATGTATGTGTGTGTATGTGTATATATATGTATGCATGTATGTATATGTATGTATGTATGTATATGTATGTATGTATATATATAATATTAATACTTTCTAAAGAAATCATATCACTTCTGATATTCGGTGGGCTCAATTTTCCATCATGTCTAAACCATTGATAGACTTACAGCTCAAACCTATGTGTACCTACTCTGTAGAAAATCCCATTATGTTTAGTGAGGTTTACTACCAAGTTAGTGTAACCTTACTGGCTCACCCTCCAGGATTAGTCTTGACCGCACTGTCAAATCATTGGCTGTCACCACATCTTGCAGAAGTGAATTCCGTACATTAATTCCGTACATTAATTATGTGTTGTGTGATGTATTTCCTGTGGTCTGTCCTGGATCTGTGACCAATCTTTTTGGATTACCCTAAATTCTGCAATTAAAAGGGGAGAAACGTCTGTATCTGCTTTCTCTGCCCCTTGTATAATAACATAACTCCTGATGTTAATATGTCTCCTATTTGGCACTGGTAGGAGGAAAGTATGGAATCTCTTAATCATAGATAAGGTACCTTGGCAGTTTCAAGTTCCAGGCCACCAATAGAGGATCAACCGGGGGACGGACGGACGGGGATGTCCGCTCCCTCAACCAAAAGCCCAGCGGAAGAGCTCCGTCTTGCAGGCCCCGTGGAACTGTAATAAATCCCGCAGGGCCCTGATCTCATATGGGAGCTCATTCCACCAAGTAGGGGCCAGGGTCGTAAAGGTTGAGGCAAGTTGGACGGCCGTGGGGCCGTGGACTATACACACATAATATATATCCATAATATATATATGAATGCTTTTTATATTAATGCTTTTTACAGAAATTTTATATGTTTTATATATATAAAATGTAAATAAAATAATAGAAACAGATATCGATCATACTACTGTGTTTACCCTATTACTTTCTGAATGCTTTGTTTTTATGTAATAAACTTAAAAGAGTTATACTTTTAAAGCTGATTTTAAAAGCAAAGGAAATCCCTGAAGAGGTCAGCACTGTCGTGGCTGCTTCTTACAAGCTGGGAACTAACTCTGGGTCTTTCTCTCTCTCCCCCCCCCCCCTTTAGGAAGGGTACTACGGCTATGAATCATGCGCTGGCTGCCAGAGGTGTGAGTGCGATGCTGGGGCTGTGGGCTCAGACTGCCACCCTCAGAGTGGCCAGTGCAGCTGCAAACCGGGCGTGACGGGCTCCCGTTGCCAGCAGTGCGTCCCGGGCTACTGGGGGCTCAGCACCAACGGCTGCATGAGTGAGTATCCTTTCACCATTGATAGGCCCACTGGGAAATATTCAAATTTTTGTTGCACAGCCCAGAGGCATGGATACTTTAAATGGCCTTTGCTCGGTTTAAAAGATGCCTCCCCCCTTTTAAAACTAGGGTACTGCCCTGCTAAAGGGCAGTATCCAGAGAGCTATTCCCCTAATTGGCACAGTGTGCTTGGACCAGCTGATGAGTACGCATGAAACTGCCTTCTACTGAGTCAGACCCTTGGTCTATCAAGGTCAGTATTGTCTACTCAGACTGGCAGCGGCTCTCCAGTGTCTCAGGTAGGGGTCTTTCATGCCTCCTGCTGCCTGATCCTTTTAACTGGAGAGTCCAGGATACAGAACTTGAAACGGTAAAAGGAGCTTCCATAGAGAGGCAGAATGGTCTGTAAGTAGATATACACAGAAATTAGATTCAGGTGGGGTAGCCGTGTTGGTCTGAAGCAACAGAACAAAGTTTGAGTCCAGCGGCACCTTTAAGACCAACAAGGTTTAATTCTGGGTATAAGCTTTCCTCTGCATGCACACTTCTTCAGATACTTCTTCATAAGGGTGTGTGCACATGCCCTGACCTGGATAGCCTAGGTTAGACTGATCTCGTCAGATCTCGGAGGCTAAGCAGGGTCAACTTTGGCAAGTACTTGGATGGGAGACCTCCAAGGAATGCCAGAGGTGGGAGGCAGGGGCAGGCTTTATTCAGCCACCTCTCTGAATATCTTCCAGGCCTCCAGTAGGGGTCAATCACCAGAGGTCGCCATGACTTCTAGGTGCGTACACAGTCACACGCACATGCACATATTTTTAAAAATACCAAAAAGTACCAAAAAAAAAAAGACAAGTGTCTGTGCACACGAAAGCTTATGCCCAGAATTAAACTTTGTTGGCCTTAAAGGTGCCGCTGGACTCAAATTTATACATAGATGTTGTCACTTCAGGAGAGCAATCCTAACAGGTTAAGATTTTTTGACTTTGTAAGTGGGCCCTTGGACTGGTTCAAGGGTGGTAAGGAGATTGGGCTGGGTTATTTTTTGTTTGTTTGTTTTGTTTATTTATTTTGCATATATTTACATTATTTATAGTTTGCCTTTCTCACTTAGACTCAAGGTAGATTACACAGAGTAAGTCAATACAATTGACGGGGGGACCTTTCTGCAAACAATGCAATAGGGTTAGGGTTGTAGAACCAACCAAAAATCTAAACAGAGGACTGAAGCAAAGCACAATTATTAACACGACACATTAAATGATGCAAAATTCCATAGCAGGATCCAAGTTTCAGCAAGCTTAAAGACAACAGAATAGACCGCAGTCCCTAATAAATTTTCCAGGTAGCTTGGTGAATCACTTAGTGTGGTGCAGCTCTATTGCTGGTGTAGAAAAGCCTTCTGGAATAATTCAGTTTTGCATGATCCTGCCCTCCTCAGGCAGACTGTTCCATAAGGTGGGGGCCACAGTTGAGGAGGCACGTGTATGGGCAGTTCTTGATTTTGCCCATTTCCAGGATGGCACTTGTAGAATCCCCTGCTCCGATGAGCGAAGCTGTCGTGACAGAACGCAGGGGTTTACTTTTCAGCAGTTCTTCAATTCCGTTCTAATCCTTGATAATTATGAAGTGTCGCGTGTGTGTGTGTGTGTGGGGAGGGGGATTGTCATCCCACGTGGATTAATATGGAGGTAAATGTAAAGGTAAAAAGGAGCTGCGGTGGCTCAAGTGGTTAAGACGCTGAACTGCAGGCTGTGGAAGGTCGGTAGTTCAGCAGTTCAAGACCCGGGTGTGCCGCATGACGGAGTGGGCTCCCGTCTCTGGTTCCAGCTCCTGCCAACCTAGCAGTTCGAAAGCAAAAATGTGCAAGTAGATAAATAGGTACCACTTTCGGTGGGAAGGGAACAGTGTTCCGTGTGCCTTGGCGTTTAGTCATGCCGGCCACATGACCACGGAAACGTCTTCGGACAGCGCTGGCTCTTCGGCTTTGAAACAGAGATGAGCACCACAACCCTAGAGTCGGATTCGACTGGCTTTCGAGCAAGGGAGACCTTTACCTTTACCTTTTAAATGGGTGTGTTTCACTCAAGGCTTCTTCGTTTTTCACGTTTCCCTTTATCAGAATGTCACTGCAAAGGAGGCTCCTGCAACCCCCGGACGGGAGAGTGCACCTGCTCCAATGGACTGACAGGGAGGCAGTGTGACACGTGCATGAAGCAGCATGAGATCCCTGTGGTGGACGGCCCGGACATCATGAGATGTGAAGGCTAGTCTGTTTGGTTTCATCTTCTTCCTTCCCTGCTCTGGTCCCAGCATGGGATGGAACCCGACAAGATTTCCCGCTCACTGAAGGAGAGGTGTAATTTCCTCCCGTTCCCTCTTCCTGCGGTAGAACCACTGATTGGCTCCTCATGCCGTTCTTGAAAGGGCTCCTGTCCTCCAGTTTGGTGTAGTGGTTAAGTGCGGGTTTGATTCCCCACGCCTCCACTTGCAGCTGGCTGGATGACCTTGGGCAAGCCATAGTTCTGTCAGAGCTGTTCTCTCAAGGGGAGTTCTCTCAGAGCTCTCTCAGCCCCACCCACCTCACAGGGGGTCTGTTGTAGGGAGGGGAAGGGAAAGGAGATTGTAAACTGCTCTGAGACTCCGAGTGAAGGGCGGGGTATAAATCCAATCTCCTCCTCCTCCTCCTCTTCTTCTGCATTTCAGGGAAATCAGTAGGCGAGAGGGGGAGAGGCAGAAAAGGTCTCTTCTGCTGGCAGAAGTGCCTCCTGTTAGTGGGAAAAATTTGTCTAGACTCAGCCCGCTATCTGAAATGGGCACACCTAACAGGGAGGTTTCTTTTGCTGCTCTCTCCGCCCTGGGTGGCGTTGCTGCTGTGGAACCTGAACCTTCCTGTCCTCAGACCAAGTTAGAAAGAGGGAAGCAGCTAGTTATTGGGAAGTCTTTTCTGCATTTTTTAAACTGGGGAAAGTAAACATTTTATTGGGTCAGAAGAGAGCAAAAAGCATCTCTCCTCTTCCCTGCAAGGAAGAACCGTACTCTGATCAACTCACATACTCCAGACCAAAATATACCAGTGAGAGAGAACAGGAATAACAAGTTGTCCACAGTGCACATAGCTGCACAGTGTTCATGCAAGTGAAACAAGCTGATTTTTTTTAAAGCTAAGATAATTAGGAAGTTCACATTAGTACCATAATGAGTACCATAGAGTTTTCACTGAATCCTAGAGCAACATGACATCACCTGGATTTGACCTGGAAGTAATGTCCGGCTGTTGACCAAAAGGCGACTTCTGCTTTACTGGCCCGCCTACAATGAGGTGGCAGGGGGTGGCAGCTGCTCCTCTACCCCTCTCTGTAGCTGGAGACCTGGCAACCCTATGGGCCAATGTCTTGTACAGTACACTGTGTGGGGAAACCCCCAACTTAGAAGAAGTTAAGAAGAAGGTCTGGATTTATACCCCGCACTTCACTCAGAGTCTCAGAACAGCTTACAATCTCCTTTCCCTTCCTCTCCCCATAAGAGACACCCTGTGAGGTAGGTGGGGCTGAGAGTGCTCTGAGAGAGCTACTCTTGAGAGAACAGCTCTGAGAACTGACTGACCCGAGGTCACCCAGCTGGCTGCATGTGGAGGAGTGGTGAATCAAACCCAGTTCTCCAGATTAGAGTCTGCTGCTCTTAACCGCTACACGAGACTGGCTCTCACTACACCAAACTTAGAAGATGTAGTCTCTAGTACCAGAACCCTAAATAGATTCAGTTAATTGATCATTTGAATTACCTGTTTTGAATTTGAAAAGTCTTGCAGATGGGTGACAGGAGTGATTGGGCAAACTTACGTAGGCAGTTACTCTGGGTGTTCCATTTAATACACCCTGGGCTTCCCACTTTTCCCCGTGACTTCTGAAATTTAGGTCCACCTCAGTCAGTCCTTTCCATTCAAGGTGGTCCTGCATGGGTCTTCACTAAGAACAACATGTTTACTTTTGTCTCTTCCCCAACAGCTTGCGACAGCTGCGTTCTGCTCCTGCTGGAAGACCTGCAGAAGATTGAAGACTCTTTCCCTGCTCTGAGGCACCAGTTGACCAACCTCAATGGGACCTCCATTGCCTGGGCCCGTCTACACAGCATCAACGGTTCCATGCAAACCGTCACTGTAAGTGGAGCTGACCAGATAGTCCTCTTCCCACTTGGGTTGTACTAAAAGATCTTTCACAGCTTTGCTTATTCAGCTTCTCTCCTCCTTCACAGAACCACCTGCGTGAGTATCAGAGGTCCATCAACAGGGCCAGGCAACAGGCGGACGAACTGGAAGAAGAGAACATGGACTTCATTCAAGATTTGAATGCCCTTCAACACAAGGTATTGTGTTTTCCTTTCATTTCCCCTGCTGTTTTATTTGCCATCAAGTCACAGCTGACTTAGGGTGACCCCATAGGGTTTTCAAGGCAAGAGACGTTCAGAGGTGGTTTGCCATGGCCTGCCTCTGCGTCATGACCCTCGTATTCCGTGGAGGTCTCCCGTCCAAATAGTAGCCACGGCCAACTTTGCTTAGCTTCCGAGATCCGATGAGAGCGGGCTAGCCACGCTGGAATGCTCTTCCAAGTGAGATCTGGGCCCTGTGGGATCTGTTACAATTCTGCAGGGCCTGCAAAACTGAGCTGTTCCTCCAGGCCTTTGGTTGAGGCGGTGGACGTCCATGCGTAATAGCCTCCCCAGCCCCCCCTTGCTTTCCCCCCATATAGAGATAAGCTGTAGGTGGTCAATATCTACTGCCTAACTCTTGATCCATCTGGTATACATACATGCTCAACCGGAACTTTCTGGGAATTGCTATCTTGAGAGTGTTGTCTTGGTATTGTGCTGTGATTTTATTTGATTTATTGGAGCCGTATTTTAACTGTTTTAATTGGTTGTAACCCGCCCTGAGCCCACTCGTGGGGGACAGTGTGATAGAAGTATAAATAACAAACAGTAATCTAAAACATTGACTTACTGCATTTTTTAGGCAACTATGACCCATCGAAAAGCAAATCAAGTGACCGAAAGTACAGAAGAAAGCTACCAACAGGCAGAGAACCTTATTCTGGACATGCAAAGCATTCAGAACAAAATTGATGGTGAGGTTTACAATCTCCCTCCTTATCCAAAGATTCAGTTTGGGAATATGATCAGGGCAAAACTGAATCTTGGCATCACCTGTAGCATATGGAAGCAACAAAACTATTACATTTATTTTCAGTGGTGCTAGAAGTTTAAATAGATGGTTGAGACCATTTAAATGTTAACCCTGGCCATGTGGACCCAGCTTCCATGCAGTAGAGATAGTGTCTAAATAAGAGAGCCAGCTTGGTGTAATGGGTAAGAACGGTGGACTCTATATATGGAGAACTGGGCTCGATTCCCCACTTCCCCACTTGAAGCCGGCTGGGTGACCTTGAGCAAATCACAGCACTCTTAGCCTAAAAATAAGCATAGCTCGCCACCTAGTGGTGCCAAAAAAGAGCTACAGCTTCAGGCAGCCAAATAATCCTTTGGGATCTTCTGGCTATTCCACCCACAATGCCATACGATAGATAATTAATTAGGGTTTAAATGGCTTCAGCACCGGAGTGGTAGTTAACTATGCATCCCCAGTCACAAAATCAGGTAATGTCGATGCTCTGGGGAACTGCCATGGAACAGCTATGCAGGAGAGAGAGAGACAGAGGGAGGAGGTAACATTTAAATGGCCTCCACCTGGGGGAGAGATGAGAGTGTTTGCTGGATAGCTTTGAGCTTGGTGGACTGTTAACATGAGCCGCATGATAAACAGTGTCGTTGGTAAACAACAGAGGGCAGTGACGAGATTTGTTTGTTTATTTTAATGGGCAAAGGATTGTGCGGTCCTTGGAAAGTACACAGTAAGTCCCGTGAAAGTTTTTATGGAACAGTGCGGAGCAGGAGAGAACATTCTTTGAAACGTTTCATCATTGTTTGGGGGATCACAGACCCTGTTCTCCGAGCCCCGTGAGGAGCACGGACAGAGAAGCGACTAGCGTCCGAGAACCGTGGGGTGGAAACATAAACCGGATTTTATTTGCTAGACCCAAAGGATATTGAAAACCCTTTGTGCTCTGATCTTATTTTTGTAGCAGGATGTTTGTGAAAGTGCTCAGAAATTCTACTTTGTGGGGTATTGTTTCAGGAGTAAAGATTGTTATAATATTCCCAAAATGCTTGTATTATAGATTTCCTTCTGGTGTGCATTTTACCTTTTTTTGTCTTTGATGCTGTATATTGTTCTTTCCATGCGCTTCGAGTTAACTCTCTTAGCTAGGATTTTTAATGATTTTGCGGAGTTATGCCAGAAATTTTGTCTTAGAAACCCATCACGAAACAGGAGATCACAGACTCCATCGAAATTATCTGTTTTAAAAAAACAAAAACCCTTTGAAAGAATGGTGTGGTGTGGCTTTCTGTCTAGATCTTATATATCAGACGGAGACTGTTGCCGCTGCAAATGCCAGCGCTGCCTCCAAAGAGGAGTTTCGGCAGAAGCTAGCCGAGGTGGACATGATGCTGAGGCAAATGAAAAGCAGGGATTTTAGCATCCAAAGAGCAGTAGCCGCTGAAGAGCACGAAGAAGCTCAGAAATGTGAGTATAACGGCAAGGGGCAGAGGCGTGGAGGGGGTGGAGAATCACTCTGGGGTAAGCTCTGTCTGGAATCTCACCGCCTCTTTCCTCTGGGTAATCTGTTCGAGAGCTGTTCATTCTAATCATGCCATTGAACTTCCACGCTGAGATATGGAGCATACCAAACTGTCGTTTTATCCTCGGTTCAAAGGCAGTTCCACTACCATTGAAAGAGAATAGGCTTTGACAGACTGAAATCCTGGGAGAGATGAGTTCCAGTTCCAGACTGTCTTGAAGCTCCTCCAGATTCCCAGATTATTGTTAGATTGCGAAAATGGCAGTCAGGATCTGGAAGACAGATGACACGAGAGCTACCATCCCGGTCACTTCCAAGCGTGCTGCGAAGTGCCCACTCTTGCGTTTTATTCCATGCATGCAGAATAGGAGAGGTTTTCAAAACGGATCAGATGTAGCACCCAAATTGTTGACCTCAGGTTGGTAAATTTGGAGCTCAAAGGAAGGAGGGGAAAGAGAAGGAGGATCTTCGGGCTGAAACCGTCCCTGTATCTTTATCGTTTCATCTTCGCTGGAGAGGCGAATGTGTTCAATAAAACAGTTTGTTCAAACTCCCCAGTCCTTGGGCTTCCCTCCTCGTCTGTCGTGACCGGCATAACACTGAGCCAGCAGACACGGGACGCGTTTCCTTGTGTCTATCAGTCACCATTCTGATCTCTCGTCCCATCAGTGCTGCATCGCGTGAAATCTGAGCTATTCAGCAAACTGGAGTCCAACCAAGAACTGGTGGACAGCATCACCGACAGGTTGGATCGGTACAGCTCGGAGCTCATGGACCTGCGAGATGCCCTGAACGAAGCTGTCAACAAGACCCGTCAGACAGAGGACCTCAATAGCCTAAATCGGAATCACCTGGAGGAATACCAGGTACAGGGAGGAGGCTCGCTGATCTGAGCGCACTCCTGTGCCTCAGGGGATCGAACGAATTAAAAAGTCACCTCACTGTTTCAATGTGTATGTAAAGCGTGTCAGATACAGAGAAGGACTCTGCAACATATTCTCACACCCAGGGGGTTTTTTTGTAGAAAAAGCCCAGCAGGAACTCATTAGCCTAATAGGCCACACCCAACAGCAGAAGCTCATTAGCCTATTAGGCCACACCCCTGACAGCACAGCTTATTAGCATATTAGGCCACACCCCCATGTTACCAGAAGTGTGGTCATCCAGCCACACCCACCTTTTGCTCCTTATTCTGTTTACCTTGTTTGTTGTCAAAACCCAGGACTTTTTTGTAGCAGGAACTCCTTTGCATGTTAGGCCACACACCTCTAATGTAGCCAATCCTAATGAGTTCCTGCTGTTGGGTGTGGCCTGTTATGCTAATGAGTTCCTGCTGGGTGTGGCCAACTCAGGAGCCAGCTGGAACTCCGTTCCTGTGCGTTCCTGCCCAAAAATAGCCCTGCTCACACCTCCTTAAGCTTTGTTTAGCTTGTCTGTCTGTCAGCCCCAAAGGTAACTTAGAGGGACGTCTAGAGATGTTTCACTTTCTAAGCTGCTTGGGCTAAAGACTGCGGCTTCATAGGAGGTGGGTCTAAAGACACTGGGACAGTCTGAGGCCTGTTTGAGACAAGATGGTAGAAGAACAAGGTGGAGAGGGAGTGTGTGGCTGCTAGGCAACTACCATTTTGGGTTTTTTAAAAAATTGTTTCTGGATTATCCATCTGTCCTATTTCCTCCCCACTCCTGACCAGAACATGCCTTGCATGTTCTACAGCCCATAAACGGGGGGTTTGTGGATAGTGTCTTAAAGGCTGACAAGCTCGGTCTCCCTATATATGGAGCAGCCTTGCATTGACGCATGGGATAAGAGGATGGCTTCTCTTATGGATTAAAAACTGGTTAACTGACAGGAAGCAAAGAGTAGGAATCAATGGACAGTTCTCACAATGGAGGGGAGTAAGCAGTCGGGTCCCACAGCCAATACTCTTTAATTCATTCATAAATCATCTGGAACAAGGGTGAATAGTGTAGTGGCCAAGTTTGCAGATGACACCAAATTATTTACGATGGTGAAAACCTGGGGGGGGGGGAGAGCAGGAGGGATTATTTATACCCCGCCCTTCTCTCAGATGAGCTTTCAGTCACCTTCCCTTCCTCTCCCTTTCCTTTCCTCTGAACTCTCTCAGCCCCACTGACCTCACAAGGTGCCTGTTGGGGGGAGAGTAAGGGAAGGAGGAAAGAGATTGTAAGCCGCTCTGAGACTCCTTAAGGTAAAGAAAAGCAGGGTATAAAAGCCTACTCTTGAGAGCCAGCATGGTGTGAAGAGGGGGCAGACTTTAATCTGGAGAACTGGGTTTGATTCCCCCCTCCTCCTCCACATGAAGCTTGCTGGGTGACCTTGGGCCAGTCACGGTTCTCTCAGAACTCTCTCTGCCCCACCTCCCTCACAAGGTGCCTGTTGTGGGTAGAGGGAGGGCAGGCGATTGTAAGCTATTTTGTGACCCTTTAGGTTAGAGAAAAGTGGGGTATAAAAACCAACTCTTCTTGTAAACAAAAATAATGCTCCTTGATTGAAGTCCTCTGCACCGGTAAATTGGGAGTCTTCCATGCCACGCCACTCCCGGTGATGGGTAGACCATGGTGTTTTGCACCAGCTAAGGCTTCCAAATGCTTCTCAAAATAATTCAGGGGGGAAACTGTAGTGATGGTTGGGAGGAAATGCTGCCACTCATCTGCTCACTCTGACACCGTTGCTGCCTGGGGCGAGCAGAGACGTTGCACTGAAAGGCACAATTGCCTTTGGCTTATAAGTATAAACAAGAATAATGAGAGAGTGCCGTTTTCATGCCACACGCCACTCTCACAAAACACCTACAGATATCAGCTGCATTCTTAATTAACTCTTGAGTGGCCGTGTAGATGTTTGAAACTTATACAGGTAGTAATTCCAAACGGCTCAGAAGTCTGCTACCTTGCACAGGATTGGAGCTACATAAGAGCCAGTGTGGTGTAGTGATTAGTGTGGCAGACTAGGATCTGTGAGACCCAGGTTCGAATCCCACTTTTGCCATGGAAAACTGCTGGGAGACCTTAAGCCAGCCACACACTCTCAGCCTAGCCTACCTCACAGGGTTCTCGTGAGGATAAAATGGAAGAGAGGCAAACAACATAAGCTGCTTTGGGTCCCCGCTAGGGAGAAAGGTGGGGTATAAAAAGAATCAAGTAAGTAAAAACACAAATATTTGAAAGGCATCGTGTTGACAGCTTCTGGATCACAGCAGAAATGGGATGAGCTTCTGGAGATGAAGCTACGTTATTCTGTTACAGTAAAAATGAGACCCGCAGATAGGAACATGGAGCTGAGAATCTGCATAAAGAGAGCCTGCATCGTAGAAGTACCCTTTGTACATGACTGCCTTTCTGGCGGGCGGGCGGGGTGTGTGTGTGTATTTTGAGATGCCAGCATTCTATAGCGGGCCACTGTCCATTAACCAATCCCCTGTTTTGCAGCAAAAGAGCCGGGAGCTGCAGGAACAGCATTGCATGATTCAGGACGTCTTACACATGGCGGAGGACTTCCTGGCCCAGGTCTCTGATCTCCTGCAGAAAATCGATGACATCACAGAGGTAAGTGGCACAAAAGGGCCAGCACGACATCAGGATTGTGTGAACTAAGGAGAGGGGGAAGGAGGCGTGTGACTGCGGGGCACTGGTTCTTGCCAAGCAAGGAAAGGGAACAAACACCCAAGGGGCAGCCTTTTATTAGCCGTGCATATCTTGTGAAGACAAGGTAGAGAGGCGAGAGAAACACATAGTGCATTGAAGGGCTAGATTTGAGACACTGCCGCAGGATGTGGTGGCGGCTACAAGTATAGACAGCTTCAAGAGGGGATTGGATAAACATATAGAGCAGAAGTCCATTGGTGGCTATTAGCCACAAGGTATAGATGGTATTGTCTGTATGGTCAATGCAATGGTATTCCCAGTAGTCATGTATGGCTGCGAGAGTTGGACCATAGGGAAGGCTGAACGCCGAAGAATAGATGCTTTCAAATTGTGCTGCTGGAGAAGACTCTTGAGAATCCCCTGGACTGCAAGGAGATCAAATCGGTCAATCCTAAAAGAAATTAACCCTGACTGTTTCCTGGAAGGCCAGATACTGAAGCTGAAGCTCAAATTCTTTGGCCACCAAATGAGAAGGGAGCCCTCACTGGAGAAGACCTTGATGCTGGGAAAGGCTGAAGGTGAAAGAAGAGAGAGAGGAAAAGATTGGATTTCTACCCCGCCCTTCACTACCCAAAGGTGTCTCAGAGCAGCTTACAAACCCCTTTCCCTTCCCCTCCCCACAACAGATACCCTGTGAGGTAGGTGGGGCTCAGAGAGCTCTTGACAGAAACCGCTCTCTATGGCTTGCCCAAGGTCATCCAGCCAGGGGCAAGTGGAGGAGTGGGGAATCAAACCCGGTTCTCCCAGATTAGAGTCCGCGCACTTATCCACTACACCAAACTGGATCTGAAGAAGGGGACGGCAAAGGATGAGATGGTTAGACAGTGTTATCGATGCAACGAACATGAAATTAAGCGAACTCCGGAGCACGACGGAAGACAGGAGGGCCAGGCGTGATGTGGTCCATGGGGTCACGAAGAGTTGGACTCGACTGTGCAACTGAACAACAACAATAGATGGAACACTCTGTCTGGGGCAGTGATGCTCTGTATTCTTGGTGCTTGTGGGGGGGGGCAACAGTGGGAGGGCTACTGGAGTTCTGGCCCCGCTTGCCGAACCTCCTGATGGCACCTGAGTTTTGGCCAGTGTGTGACACAGAACGTTGGACTGGATGAGCCATTGGCCCGATCCAACATTGATGCTCTTATGAGTCCAGGAGCATCTTAGAGACCAGCCAGATTTCCGGGGTCTGAGCTTTCAGTAGTCAAAGCTCCCTCGTTGGTATCTAAGGGGCTCCTGGGTTCAAATCCAGTTCTTCTACTGCAGACCAACTTGACTACCCACGAAACAATAGTGCATTGAGTTCCTCTCAAGATTCCTCAGATTAATCTGATGCACGCAGACAAAGCTACCTTCTCCTGAATCAGAGCATTGGGCCATTCAGGTCAGTATTGTCTGTTCCCTGACTGTTCCCTGACTGTTCCCTGGAAGGCCAGATAATGAAACTGAAGCTCAAATACTTTGGCCACCAAATGAGAAGGGAGCACTCACTGGAGAAGACCCTGATGCTGGGAAAGATTGAAGGTCAAAGAAGACGGGGACGGCAAAGGATGAGATGGTTAGACAGTGTCATAGATGCAACGAACATGACATTGAGCAAACTTCAGAGGACGGTGGAAGACAGGAAGGCCTGGCGTGATCTAGTCCATGGGGTCGCGAAGAGTCGGACTCGACTGTGCGACTGAACAACAACAACATTGTCTGTTCAGACTGGCAGCAACCCTCCAGGGTCTCAGAGGGCTTTCACATCCCCTGCTATCTAGTCCTTTCGCCTGAAGATGCGGGGGACTGAACCTGGAACTTCCTGCATGCAAAGCAGAGGCTCTTCCACTGCACCACAGGCCCCCCCCTCATGCGAAGAGCCTGCATGTCTCAGGAACCCCAGGACAGAAGGATGTTCAGCGGGTGCTGTTTGACTGTGGTAGCAATCCTTGCTACCTGTCCAGTTTGTCATCCTGGGATGTGACTAAAAATAAATAGATTATTGTATGGTACTGTGTGTGGTGTAGCCAGGAGATTCTAGAATTGTCTGGCAACCTGAAGCTCTAGCTCTTTTTAGCATTATGCAGCGAGCTAGACTTGTTTTTTTTTGGGGGGGGGGCTGGGAAAGCCGTGACTGGCCCAAGGGCACCCAGCTTGGCTTTAAGTGGAGGAGTGGGGAATCGAACCCAGTTCTCCAGATTAGAGTCCGTCGCTCTTTAACGGCTACATCGCACTGGCTCCCATCGGGATGTGACTAATAGATTCTTACTGTCCACAGAAGCAGGCAGAAATTTTCATTTCTAAGGAGTCTCGCAGCCCCAGAAAACTCTTTCTGCACCCTGGGACTCAAGAGAATTTTCCTGGATTCCAAACTGATGCATTTTGTATGGCTCGTGGCTCTGCAGATGCTTTTCTGTAGCGACAGTGTTTTCCTCCAGCACGAGGCATGTTCTTCCTATCAAGGGGGCTAGCACAGGATGAGAGCACCGCCAGTAGTGGAACCGATCTGCTGAATTATTATTATTATTATTTATTAAATTAGTATTCCACCCTCCCCGCCATGGTGGGCTCAGGGCGGCTAACAAACATACACGTGAAAAATACATTAAAACTCCATAATATGGTAAAAACAAAATAAGTGAAGATTACAGTATAAAACCATAACTACTCAGTACATCCTATAGTAAGAGATGGCGACGTTCTATCAGCATTTCAATGGCTGCCTATACCCCAGTCCAGGCTCCTGCCAGGCTGTTAGCCATCCAGTTGGTGGTGATGTTGATGTTAGGGCCAGGGCCATGGTGTTAAGGCAGCACCCTACTTAAAAGCCTATTAAAGGCATATACAGTCATATACAAAAGTTGGGAAAACAAACACATAGCTTCTCATGGCATTGGAAAGGTGGCTTAGGCACAGAGGAGAATTTTGGCACACTACCTAACTCCTCACACCAATGTTCCACATTTCCACTGCAGAATCACCTTATTTTCTGCAAACAGTAGAAAATTGACAGCCCCATACTTAATACCAGGGAAAGGCCCGTGTACTTCCTGGCCAGTTTAGTGTAGTTGTCAGGAGTGCGGACTCTAATCTGGGAGAACCGGGTTTGATTCCCCACTTCTCCGCATGCAACTGCTGGTGTGACTTTGGGTCAGTTACAAGTTGTTTCGGAGCTGTTCTCTTACGAGCAGTTCTCGAGAGAGCTCTCTCAGACCCACCTCCCTCACAGGGTGTCTGTTGTGGGGAGGGGAAGGGAAAGGAGATTGTAAGCCACTCTTGAGACTCCAGTGCTCTCTAGGTGTGAGTCAACCACGACTACTGAGGAGAGCTTAAATCATCTTTATTTAACTTCACACGCATTCAGAAAAACATTTACTCAAAATCGAGCTGATATCTGGGTGGAAAGTTGCATCTTGTGATCTAGGTCAGTTCTATAGCCGAGGTGAGAGAAGAGATGGTCTTTCCCTCTCTTTCCAGTAAGGGTTGATGGACAAAGAAACGGAAAAGAACAATAAAACTCCTATCTTTGCGCCTCTGAGCTCAGGAAATTACTCTTAATGAGCCAGTCAGAGGGAAGCTTCTGGGACCCCTAACTGTGGACTCCAATTCCCAGGGTGCAACTACTCTTAAAGGTACATTAAAGCTGGCTGGGGCAGCACAGGTAGTGAAGGGCGGGGTATAAAACCCAGTCTGCTCCTGCTGCTCCTCCTCTTCTTTGCAGTAGGCCTCAGATGCTTGAATGGGGGTTTTGTGTGTGCGCTCCCTGTCCTGTCTGAGGGGGGAAGAAATGGGCTAGCAGGAGTTCCAAAGCAGACAGATGCCCGCAAGTGATCCGTGATGTCTTGCAGGAGTCTGAGAAAGCTGCAGCTGAGCTCGATGGGGCCAAATATCCCCTCTCGCAGAAGGCCAAGGAGTACTCTCTCACGAGCGATAAGATCCCCATTGTCGAGGAAGCCGAGAACCGATCCAGACTCCTGGATGAACTGGCACGAAACCTGTCCAGGTAACTCTCTCTTTTGGTCCCCCCCCACCCAGCAAGCTCTCATTGGCTAGCAAGCCCAGCTAGGTTTCTGTCCTGGGGTTTTGTTGGTAACATTATAGCTAGAGAACCAAGTTGGAGTCCAATGGCACCATTAAGGCCAACAAACTTTAATTCTGGGTATAAGCTTTTGTGTACATGCACACTTCTTCAGACGCAGTGAACCAAGGCTTCCTCGACCATTACATATGGGGGAGGGTTTAGTTGCCAGAAAAGGCTAGTTAGAGTCAAGGTGCATAAGTAACTGGGTGATTGTAGCAGATGTTCAGATAAGGCAGTTGGTAAGATCTGTGAATAGCAGTAAATTAGCGTACAAACAGGGCTCTTTTTTGGGTGGGGTGGGGGAGGTGCCGAAACTCTCAGGAGGGAAATGAAGTTTTCAATCTGTATACTGAAAACTCATGAACTTTGAAACACTCCTAAAAGAATTTTGTCGAAGAGGAAAAAAAGCCCTGCAGAGTTAACAAACAGATGTGAGAACAAAGTTGGGAGTCCAGTCGAACCTCCCAGACCAACAAAGGTCAATTAGCTGGAGAGTTCTTGTTCATGTATTACCCTGTATGGTTTCCATTTTGTATATCAAGTGCCCCACTCATAATTGTGGTTGGCTTTTGCAAGTTTTTTGTTCAGAGATTCCGGAAGATGTGTTTTAAACTGTTTAATAATGTGCTTTGGCAAAGCGGTTTGGTGGGATGAGACCATTACACTGTCAGTTTCCTTTGTGAAATCATTCTCGGGTTTGTTTGTTTTTAATTAAAAAAGGTTAAAGGAATGGGAAGGCTAATAGAATCCCTTTCTGATAACAGCTTGGGGAGGGGGGGATCCACCATGTCCGATTCTAGTCAAACCCCCCTGAATGAGGAATTCCCTTCATACGTTTCAGTTTTCATAGGCCTTTACAGTTATTTTTCCTCACAACAGTCCTGCAAGGTAGGTTGGCCTAAGAGATTGTGACCTATTCGTCACATGCTTCATGGCTGCACATCCCAGCTCACACTGGGGGATTGTGTAGCCAAACAAAATACTAATTTTCTGTACAGTTTGCAAATCTTCGTTAAAACAGTCTACACACCTTTCACAAAACCCCATATTTTTACACTTTAAGGGGAGGGGAATTAAGCAATTTTGTCATAAAAGTAGTGAATTTGTGTATGGATTTACTTCATTTATAGCCCTCCTTTCCTCCCAATGAGAACCTAAAGTGGCTTTATACCATTGTCCTCTCCATTTTACCTCACAACACTCCTGTGAGGTAGGTTACACTGAGGCCCAAGGTCACCTATCAAGTTTCAGTGTCAGAGCTAGGATTCGAACCTGTGTCTCCCAGATCCTCATCTAGTACTCTAACCACTTCACAACACCATCTCTCAATTTGCCTGTTTTGTCTCCCTTGTAGAATTTGTCTGGAGCTTTGCCTTTCTTTTGTCACTTTAGAAAGCTTTGTTGCTGGTCTGTGGGAGCAACAGACCAGGGGAAAGGACTTTGATTTGAACGAGGTGCAGGGATCTGGCAATATGTAAAGGCTCTTTTTGGTTTTGAACATTCAGAAGAATCCATCCCAGCTCTTTAATGTCTCTCCCCCCCCCTCCATAGACGAGGGCTTTGAAAAGAGTGCATTCTTACGCTCGTATTTTTGTACCGCTGCTGCAGCTACCAGTGGTCTGCCCTTTTGAAGATATACTTTTGTGAGCTACAGTAAAAATCACATCCATACAGATGTCAAAAGCCCTGGATTCCTGTTCCTTTCTGTAAACCAAACTTTCACTGCAGCCAGCAGATAAGAAGTCTGTGCGTGCAGCCGGAAGTGGCCACAGAGATAAGACAACCCTTTTGGAACAGAGGCTGGCTTTTCTCCGCCGAATCTGCGGACCTTTCTTAACCCGACCCAAACCTAGAAAGGCTGTTGATTGCCTCTCGTTTGGTCTCACAGTGCTCAGTGCAAGAGGGAATGATAGATCTCAGGGGCCCTCTTAGTACTCATTCCCCCACCATACACTTTTATTTATTTCTTTACTTCATTTATACCCTGCCTTTCCCCCCAGTGCTTAGCTTCAGTGCCCTATACGGCCAGGGGCCAGCATACCTATGAGACCACCTCTCCCCATATGAGCCCCGGAGGACACTGAGGTCACTGAATCAATATCTGTTAGTGGTCCCCGGCCCCAGGGACATCCGGCTAGGCTCGACCAGAGCCAGGGCTTTTTCGGCCCTGGCCCCTGCCTGGTGGAATGAGCTCCCGTGTGAGGTCAGGGCCCTGCGGGACTTATTGCAGTTCCGCAGGGTCTGCAAGACGGAGCTCTTCCGCCAGGCGTTTGGTTGAGCCAGCAAACATCCCCCGCCCCCGTTTCTCTGGCCCTAGCTTTTTTGCCCAGCTTCTTCCGGCCAATTGTCCACCAGCGGCCGGATTCTGGTTGGTTATCTGACTACCGCTATAGTTACGCGGTATTTTTATGATATTTTATGTATAAATTGTTATTTTAATATTGCTCCAATAGTATTATTTAACTGTTGGACACCGCCCTGAGCCTATCTGGGGAGGGCGGTATATAAATCTAATTAAATAAGTAAATAGAATAAATAGTGGGGACCCAGAGCGGCTTACATCGTTCTCCTTTCCTCCGTTTTATTCTTGCAACAAACTTGTGAGGTGGGTTGGACTCTGTGTGTGACTGGCTCAAGGTCATCCAGCAAGCTTCCATGGCCGTGAGAATTCGCACCTGGGTCTTCCAGAGCCTAGCCCAGCACTCTAGTCACTACCCCCACTCTGGCTCCAAAGGCACAGTGTATAGCTATCCGCTCTGAAGGAATATGGCAGCACACTGTGGGAAGTTCTAGTCCAGGGGTCCCCAGCCATTTTGAGCCTGCAGGCACCATTAGAATTGTGACACAGTGTGGTGGAGGCAGCCCAAAAAAATGGCTACCACAGCCTACTTTTGCACAGAACTAACCAGGAAGGGAAAGTATAAATCTACAAATGAAAAGGTAAAACTCTCCCCAAAATTGTTTTTCCCAAAGACAAGTAATAATGCTCATTTTTTGTTGTTGTTGTTCAGTCGCAGTCGAGTCCGACTCTTCACGACCCCATGGAATAATGCTCATACAAATATATTAAATATACTGAATATATAAACGCATACAATATTTCAATAAAATGTATTGCACATCATAAAGTCTCACAAACCACAGAATGATAATTCTTAAAAGAAACACTATCCTAAAGCCCTCCAAGGGTGGCAGTAAGAGTCCATAAGAAAATACACTGTTTAGTATACCCCGATGGTATCGTACGTGATGTTCAGACCATTTCGAAGAAAATCTTTCATCAAAGGGTATAAGAGGTCGAGGTAGGCACAATGACCATGCGCAAACCAAAGTTCTGTTTTGTATTAAGTGGAGTCCAAAGCCTCTTAAGAAGAAGAGAGATTGGATTTATACCCCGCCCTTCACTACCCGAAGGAGTCTCAGAGCGGCTTACAATCTCCTTTCCCCTCCCCTCCCCACAACAGACACCCTGTGAGGTAGGTGGGGCTGAGAGAGTTCTGAGAGAACTGCCCTTGAGAGAACAGCTCTGAAAGAACTTGTAACTGACCCTAGGTCACACCAGCAGCTGCACGTGGAGGGGTAGAGAATCAGACCCGGTTCTCCCAGATTAGAGTCTGCGCTCCTAACCACTACACCAAGTTCACAACCCGATGGTATCAAATCGAGCAGGCAAACTCTACCCGACCCCACCCACTTTCTAAAAGGAAAGGTATTGGTAGAAGTTGTGGTGCCCACGGGCACTGTATTGGGGATCCCCGATCTAGTCTGCCCCCTCTGATGTCAGCATCTTGGTGTGAGAAAACATGCATGGGATTCGGCAAGCAGGTTTGTAGTTTAAGCTGCTGAAAGGGACCTGTAGCCATGGCTTGGCAGCGTGGACCCGTTGGGACTGCTGCTAAACCACCCATCCATTTGTCCTGTAAAAAACAGCATCATCCACGGCACAAACCAGAACGGGTTTATTCAGCGAGCGATCAACGCCTCCAACGCCTACGCCAGCATCATCGAAGCAGTCAAGGATGCCGAGAACGCGGCCAACAAAGCCAACCGTGCGGCCGGTGAAGCTTTGACGGTAAGGAGCCTTCAAAAATCCTGGCTACAGTTAGTGCAGCTGGCGAGACCCAGCAGCCTGGGAAATGCAGGGCGACCCCACAAATCTGTCCCGCGCCTCTCCCAAGTTGGCCGTTTTCACTTGGCCCAGCAGCGGTGGCTGTTGGGAAAAGCTGGCTCTCTTTCTACGCGATGCCCCCTTTCCCTGGGAAGACATCTCTAGTACGAGGGCTTGCGGAACGAGAGCCAGGCTGGCAGACAAAAGCGCAAAAGGAACCCGGCAGCTGTCGAGTCTTTTGCCAGGGAGGTGTTGGCAGTCAGGTTGCGCCCGTCTCCCAGCTCCCAGCTCCCTTATTATGAGCCCCGTATGTCCTCACGGCCCAATTTGGAAAGCCAGATTAGTCCAGGAAGATTACACGCATACCTCTTTAAATTGTTATCTGTCCAGTCAATTGGATTGCATTTGGCTTATCAGACATTAATTCGGTTCAGAATGGGTAAGACTCTATTTGAAAGAGTATCTGCCTTCTTCAAGGATGGGGATTCACCTCATTGCAATACACACACACAAACACACATGTATGTATGTACGTATGTATAGATATATATACATTATATTAAAAAAATAAAATATTTTGAGCATTGAAACTCTCACAGTATATTGTGGGGCAGTGGGTTAGATCTCACAGTCTGGGTTGGATCCTCTGGATCCATTCCTCCCCAGTGTAAGCAGTCTTCCCCTGATGCGAGAGGATCAAGGAGGATGACGGGAAGGCCCCTTGCACAGGGGAAGAATGGACCCACAGGATCCAACCTAGTCTGTAGAAGAAGGAGAGGATTTATACCCTGCACTACCCGAAGGAGTCTCAGAGTGGCTTACAATCTCCTCCCCCTCCCCCTCCCCACAACAGACACCCTGTGAGGTAGGTGGGGCTGAGGGAGCTCTGAGAGAACTGCTCTTGAGAGAACAGCTCTGACAGAACTTGCGACTGACCCAAGGTCACACCAGCAGCTGCATGTGGAGGAGTCTGCGCTCCTAACCACTACACCAAACTGGCTCTTGACCAGGCTATCTGAGGAAGGCCCTGGAAAGGGTTGCCAACCTCCTGGTGGAGAATAGAGATCCCCTGGTATTACAACTGATCGTCAGGACTACACAACTGGCTTATCCATTAATTATTTATTTAAAACATTGTTTCCACTTCTGGAGAAAATGACTGTGTTGTGGGGGTGGGTGGGCTGTATGGGGTATTATACCCTACTGAGGCCCCTCCCCTCCCTAAACCCCAGTCTCCCAGGCTCCACACGCAAACATCCAGCCACCCTGAGCCTGCTTTGGCGGGGGCATAGGCGTAATCTTCGTGGGGGCGGCGGGGCATTAGCCCCCGCCGAAATTTTCAGGAAGCTGCTCAGCCTTCCCCGGGAGCCACCCTTGCTCCTAGCAAAGCAATGCCTCTGGCCCAGCCCCAGCCCCCCCCCCCCCCGGGAAATTGGAAAGTCTACACCCTTGGGGGAGGGCAGGGTATGAATCAAATAAATAAATAAAGGAAGCATAAGGTTTGGCAGCTCTAGCCCCAGGGCAGCCAGAGTCCTCGCCTGAGCTTTGTGGGAGGCACTTGGTGGGTCACCCGGCAGGCAGGATTCAAATATTCAGCTTCTGTGTGCGCAGAGCGTCATCCTGGATGATCTTGGAACCAAGTCCAAAGAGATGAAGAGAAACAGCAATGCCTTGGAAGAAGCCGTGAAGAGAGAGCAGAAGAAACTCAACGAAGGTGAGAAAGAAGGCCGGGGGGGGGGGGTCTGATGGCACACTCTGGTGATGGCTGGTGCCGTTAAGTGGCAGCTGACTCACGATAACCCAGTAGGGTTTTTGAAGCTATTGCCTGCCTCTGCGTGGCAACCCTGGACTTCCTCGGTGGTCTCCCATCCAAGTACTAGCCAGGACCAAACCCTGCTTAGCTTTCAAGATTTGACGTGATTGGGCTAACCTGGGCCATTCCGGTCTGGAACAGCACCTTGTCCCGAACAGCAGAAGCCTTTCCTGGGGGCCTTTCCTGACCCTGAACCCAGTCTCTTCCTCCCACCCACCACCCACCCCCCTTTTGAGCTAAGCTGCCTTCCAGAAACTCACTCCTATCAGCTGCCGATTCAGGGCTTATAATAGTTGGGTGTTCATCGACAATAAAATCTGAATAAATGTGTTTGCCTTTTTGATGGTGGAATGGAAAGAGCGTCACCAACCTGTTTCAGATCTGGGATGAGAGGCAGGAAAAGGAGTGTGGTGGAAGCAGGTGTAAGAATTGACAGCTGAGGGGTGACGTGATTGAGGTTTATAAGATTATGCATGGGATAGAGCAGGTAGAGAAAGAAGTACTTTTATCCCTTTCTCACAATACAAGAACTTGTGGGCACTCAATGGAATTGCTGAGCGGTCGAGTTAGAACGGATAAGAGGAAGTACTTCTTCGCCCATGGAATTCATGGCCACAGGAGGGGGTGGCGGCTACAAGCATGGATGGCTTCATGAGGGAATTGGATAAGCATATGGAGCAGAGGTCCATCGGTGGCTATTAGCCACAAGATATAGATAGGAACTCTTGGTCTGGGGCAAGGGATGCTCTGTGTTCCTGGTGCTTGGGGGGGGGGGGGCAACAGGGGGAGGGGTTCTAGTGTCCTGGCCCCACTGGTGGACCTCCTGATGGCCCCTGGTATTTTTGGCCACTGTGTGACAGAGGGTTGGACTGGATGGGCCATTGGCCTGGTCCGACATTGGCTTCTCTTATGTTCTCTTATGTTCTTAAGTGGGTTTACAAGATCCTTCTTGCTGTATGGGGATGTTCATTTTTGAGTGGCTGTCCACTGTCGGAGAACAAGTTGTCATTAGTCAAAGTCCATCTCAGGCTTTGGCCAGCCCATTGCACTTGTGTGCTTAAAAAGGGCCAATATCTGAGGGGGTTACCAGAGGCGGTAGCCACTCAGCTGTAGCCCTTCATCGTTTTTTGTAACCACCACAGCCCTCCCTGCTCCCCTTTCTCCATGATACTGCATAGAATAAATGGTGTAGTTCCACAACAGGACTGCAGGTGGCAGAAGGACACTTTGCACAATGTATTAAGGCCCCACTGCTGTCCAGGGGCCCACATAACCAGATGTGAGCCCCCTGTGTGAACCCATGCTTTCCGTAGGCATCTTCAGGCAGGGTTTTTTTGTATCTTAGTGTTCTGGTGGCAGGGTGTGTGGGGGGGGGGGGGGGGGTTTGCCCTGCCAGGACTTGCGAGGGGAATTGGGAGGAAGCAGGGAGATTTCTAGATGAGCTCTGCCCCCATCTTTTCATGTTCCATTATCTGCATACAAACTGCTCGCTCACATCAAGCATGCATTTTGGTTCTGGAGAGCATGGGGTGTGTTCTCTTGCATTTCTAAGGCATCTAAAATGAACAGGCACCCACGACACGTGTTGTTACCAGCTGGCTGTGTTATTAGAAAACTCTGGCTCTTAAGGATTTGGGAGAGATAGGGAAGGAGATGAGAATGCCATAGGTTCCCGTACACTGTGTAGCTAGGGAACAAGATGCGGATGTTTCTTTGTCCACGACCGCAGAAGAACCCTCTCCTCCCTTACGATCCAGCCCCAGCCCCGTAGCTAGGGGTTTTTTTTTGAGGAGGCATTGGGGGGGGGGGGGGCCAGCTAATTAAATCAGAGAGGCAGCTTTCTTCCCCCCCCCCCCGGCAAGGGCAGCCCTTCCCTGTGGAGCATCTGGCTCCCTCCCTCCCCAAAAAACCCCAGTACCCCCTTCCCCCGTCACCACACCAGGGGCAGCCTGACCTCCACTCTTGGCTCCCTCCTGGGGTTGGGAGAGGCAAGGCGTGCAGTGGCTGGGCTGGCCATGAAGGTGCAGCGTGTGGATGCATTGGCCCGCAGGAGCACAGCCGGGTGCACCTGGCCAGGGCCAGATGAGGCGCCTCCTTGCCTCCTTGCCTTGCCTGGCTTAGCTGCTGCTGGCTGGCTGGCTGGCTGGGTGGCAAGCATCTCTCAGCCCAGCCTCGCCGTCTCTGCTGCTGCTTGTGCCACCGCCGTTCCTTGTGCCGCCCTTGTCCTCTCGCTGACAGGCACGGAAAGGGGGGGGGGGGGGGGAGGCAAGGCTCAGGGAGGGAGGCCCATAAAAACCACTAGGGGGGCGAGCCCCGTGGTAGCTACCGGCCTGCCCAGCCCCCCAGTTAAGATCTGCCTCTCACACTCTGCTCTCTGTGCCGCCACCTTCAGAGATGAGAGGGGTAAGAGACAGGGCTTTTTCAGTGGTGGCACCTTACCTTTGGAACGCCTTCCCCTTTGAGGCTCACCTTGTACATAATTTACTTTCTTTTAGGTACCACTCTAAGACACATCTTTTAATCCAAAATTTTAATGGGAGGGTTATCTGATCCTCCTTTTACTGGTCTCACTGTTTTATGGACAGTGTTCATGCTGCTTGTCTAATGGCATATGTTTTATACTGTGATTTTTAATTGTAAGCCTCCTCGAGCAGGACTTCGAAGAGACAGCATGGAAATATTCTACAAGCCTCTTCCTCTGTGTTAGTGATTAGATATTTCGTTCCACCAATCCCGAGTTGTACGCATGCGACCTTGTACTTATGAAAATATATTTATTTCCATCCAAGAGATCAAGAGGGCACTGCAGGCAGCCAAAAACAGATTGGCTGATGTCCGAACAAAGAAGGACCAACTTCTGACCCAGCTGCAGTCCGAGAGGAGCAAGTTGGATGCGGTCCAAGGTTTGTCCGTGTCGCAGTTCCTTTACAAAAGAAAAGTGTTGAAATCTCCACCGTAATGTTTTCAAAAAAACCAGTGTTGTTTTTGCAAATCTATCAGTGCCATTTTAAGCAATGTTATACCTTTCTAAGTCTATTGAAGACAGTTGGTTTAGAAAGGTGTTTAACTCTGTTTGGGATTGCACTGTATGTTACATTAGGATGGTAACATGTACATCAATATCTAGATTTGCCACTGAAAGCCAAATAATGATTGATTCAAGACAGACCCTTTACCTATGTCTGAATTGTACAACTATGAATGCATGAAATTAACTGGATTTGGCATATGTGAGATTATTCCTCTCCTCCTCCATACACACAAGTTTGAATGTTATCGCGCTTCCTCGTGGAGCAGAAATCGTCTCTCAGAATGCAATTGGTATTGGTGTTGGAGACTGGTCTCCAACTGACTCATGTTGACCTCATGAAGGTCCACCTCATGGGGTTTTCAAGGTGAGAGATGGGCAGAGGTGGTTTGTCATTTGTTTCCTCTGTGTAGCAACCCTTGTCTTGTTGGTTACCCATCCACCAATTGGCCATGGCCGACCCTGCTTAGCTTCCAAGCTCTGACGAGATCTGTCTAGTCTGAGCTATTCAGGCTTCTAATTGCCATTTAGGAAAATTGAAAGAGAGGAACTGGTCATAGATCTGCAGTATCTTGTCTAGTTGCACCCTGAGTTTTTGGCCCATGGCCTCCAACAGCTGTCCTTCAGGGAGAGGCTGTGACTCAGTGGTAGAACATCTGCTTGGCCTGCAGAAGGTCCCAGGTTCAAACCCCGGCACCTCCAGCCAAAAGGATCAGGTGGTAGGTGATGTGAAAGACCTCTGCCTGAAATCCTGAAAAGCTTCTGCCAGTCTGAGTAGATATTACTGACTTTGATAGACCAATGGTCTGATTCAGTATAAGGCAGCTTCATGTGATCATGCAATTTATTCACTCTTCTTGACTTGGAAGAAACCTGGGGCAGTGTTGTGGGACATTCAAAGCTACTTATTTGAGAGCCTTGCTTCTTTCATCTGACTTTTGGTAGTCTGCCATGCATTTTGCTTGTCTGTCTGTTTGCTTACAAGTTGTCTTCTTCCCTTTCCAAGATGGCACCACCGAGGCAATACAGAATGCCAAGGACGTTGCCGCCAAGGCCAATGAGACAGCTGCCAAGGTGGAAGGGAGACTGAGCAGCATGAAAAATGATCTGGACAGGTGGAAAGAGCAATATGGAGACCTGAAGAATGAAGACTTAGAGCAGGCGGTTGAAGATGCCAAGAACACTGGTATGCGATGCCCATGTTGGGGCCTGGCCCTTATTCCATGAGATGAGCAGTTGTGGTTTGAAGGTGACCCTCACTTGACAGAGAGACCGTCAGTACACCTTCCTTCTCAAATATAGAGTTCCCAAAGTCTAGAAGAGGAACCTTGTATACGTTTTTAGTTGTGTTATTGTTTTTCTGTGAGTGGCCTGTTGGTGGTATAAAGTGCCATCAAATCATGTTGGACCATAGGGTTGTCGAGGCAAGAAATGAACAGAGATGGTTTGCTATTGCCTGGCTATACAGAGTGACCCTGGATTTCATTGGTGGTCTCCCATCCAAGTGCTAACCAGGGCCAGCCCTGCTTAGCTTCCGAGATCTGATGAGACTGAGCTAGCCTGGGCTATCCAGGTCAGGGTGAATGGCCTATTAGAGTCCTTTAAATTTCTACCTACTGTACGTTCTCCCCCCCCCCCCAACAAATATACCAGCCATGTTTTTATTTATCTGTCTGTGTTCGATTATTGTTTGTGACAGGGCATTCAGCTGAAAAAGAGATTAACTGCTCTCTGCTTTGCCTTCTAGCCTTTCTGAATAGGTTTATTAGGGAATTAATCAGCTTCTGTGTACCTTTTCCCAGTCTATGAACAGCCCGAGTCTCTTTTTATGCCCTGTTGATTTTATTATACGCCAATTTGCCACTGAGACGCTCTATCCGATTGTCAGGGCAGATATTAATTTGAGATTGACTTTGCAGCGGAGAGTGAAATCAGCCATTTCCCTGCTGTTGTCTCTTGCCTGAGTTGTTGCGCTTACCTTCCTGTTCCTTGGGCTTATTTTTCCCCTCCCGTGATGAATTTCTGCCTGTCAGTGTCAAGCCTGGAAAGCTCCCTCCCCCTGCTCCTGGGCAAGCTGAGCAGCCTGGAGAACAGGAAGAGCCACAACGCGACCGTTTCGGACAATATCCTGCGGGTGCGCAAGCTGATATCCTTGGCCCGGAACGCTGTCAGCAAGGTATGGCACGAACACGGGAGAGTTAAGTGCCCTGGCAGGTACAGGGGAAGGGGCCACAGCCAGTGGTAGGCCATTCACAATACAAGAACCTGTGGGCAGTCAGTGAAATTGCTGAGCAGTCGGGTGAGAACCAGTGTCCCCTCTAAGCCGAGTTATTGTGAGCTAGCTCAGTTTTTTAGCCTCTGGCTCACCCATTTTTGTCTCGGCTCAGGAAGGATGGCTCCAGAGCACACTAGTTTATGCTGTAGCCAAGTGCCAGCAGCTCACAGAGTAGAATTTTTGCTCACAAGACTCCACCGCTTAGAGGGGGCATTGGTTAGAACGGATAAAAGGAAGTCCTTCTTCACCCAAAGAGTGGTTAACACACGGAATTCACTGCCACAGGAGGTGGTGGCAGCTACAAGCGTGGACAGCTTCAAGACGGAATTGGATAAACATATGGAGCAGAGGTCCATCAGTGGCTATTAGCCACAAGGTATAGATAGGAACTCTCAGCCTGGGGCAAGGGATGCTCTGTGTTTCTGATGCTGGGGGGGGGGGCAACAGTGAGAGGGCTCCTAGTGTCCTGACCTCCTGATGGCACCTGGTATTTTTGGCCACTGTGTGACAGTGTTGGACTGGAGGGGCCATTGGCCTGATCTAGCATTGGCTTCTCTTATGTTCTTACATTCTTACCTGCTTGGCATGCAGAAGGACCTGGGTTCAAATCCCCAGCATCTCCAGTTAAAGGATCAAGCAGGAGATTATGGGAGAGACCCTTCAGAGCCGCTGCCAGTCTGAGTAGACAGCACTGACCTTGAGGGACCAGTGGTCTGACTCCCTGTGTTCAGTTTGCCCTGTTCTCTACAACTGCAGGACTGAAAAGCCTCTGTCATATTCCTTATCCCTAAAATGAATCCTTAGGAGACGGCAGCTGTGCTAAGGAATTCGTTTGTAGCCCAGGCAGCTCAGCTGATCAGCAGCAGCCCAGAATCGGTGGCTATTTAGCAAGGGACATTCAGAGGTGGTTTGCCCTGGTGTTCCTTGGTGGTCTCCCATCCAAATACTGACCAGGGCTGACCCTGCTTAGCTGCTGAGATCTGACAAGACTGGATTAGCCTAGTCCATCCAGGTCAGGGCGTTTCGTTTCTATCCAGGTATTTAAAAGCACCCAAGAAATGAGACAACACTGGGTTTATAAGGCCAGTGGAGGGTTCAACTTGCAGCAGATGGTTTAATGCAATCGGTCAGGGAAAAAAGCTGCCCAGTGAGCCTAGGCCTTCTGTTCCCCAAGGACCTTGTGCTGTGCAGTGAAGATTTTAAAGGGGAGATTGGACAGAAATGATTTAGGCACAGTGAATCCTGCTAGAACAGCAGACTCTGCATTTTACCACTTCTGCCCCAAACACTGTTTAGCAACCTATCACGTTTGTTTTTATCCTGCCCTTTCTGCAAGAAGCTTGGGGCAGTATGCAAAGTTCACCTTTTCTCCCCTTTTATCCTCGTGACAACCTTTTAAGATAGGTTAGGCTGAGAGAGAGAGAAAGAGAGAGAGAGAGGCCCCAGGTCATGGCTGACTTGAGGTTTCAACCTGGGTCTCGTCACTCCTAGTCTGACACTGCAACCATGCGTAGCTGAAACGTGAGTAGAAAAGAGCCGACCATGACGATGCCTCTTCCTCTATTGGTTTGGTCTCTCGGCTCCTAGATCAAAGTCCCGGTGAAATTCAACGGCACTTCAGGCGTGCAGGTCCGGACTCCCAGCAACCTCCAGGATATGTCTGCCTACACGTCCCTCAAATTCTACATACAGAATCCGGAGGCCAGGTCGAGACAGAGGCGTCAAAACGGAGATGACCAAGGGCGCTTTGTATTTTACCTAGGACACAGGGATGTAAGTTACTTTTACCTTTTCTCCACCCCCCACCAAAATGGTTTGAGGAGAAGGTGGAGAAGTCTAATCTCAATGCTCTGGTCCTCATAACAAATTGAGAGGGGGGGGTTATGTAAATCCCGCAGGGCCTTCCACAGGTGCCAACCTGCAAATGGGTGAAATCAATAACGGTCTGTATGTGTGCCTTCTCCGTGGTGGCCCCCACCTTGTGGAATGGCCTGCCCAAGGAGGTCGGGAAAGCTCCCGCTCTCCCCGCCGTCCACAAACTGTGCAGAGCTGAATTATGCAAGAGCTGAATTATTATTTTTAAGCAGGCAATAGAGTTGCACGGTGCTAAATGATTCACAAAGTCCCTTAGATAAATTATTGGGGACTGTGGTCTGTAGTGCTGCGTATCGTGTGCTGTAGGTTAGATCTCAATTGTGTAATTATTTAATGTGTCCTGTTAACTCTCTTGCTTTACTTCAGTTCTGTTTTTTAGACTTCTGGTTGGTTTCACAGCCCAAATCCTATCGCATTGTTCATTGAGTGCTGATTGCATCTTGTTGATTGCGTCAGTTCACTCTGTGTAACTTGTTGATTGCGTCAATTCACTCTGTGTAATCTGCCTTGACTCCCAGTGAGAAAGGTGGACTATACATTAATGTAAACAAATAGATAAAACTAAAATAAATTTCAACTTCCCAATGCTTCACATTAGAAAGGTGAGACGGGGGGGGGGGCTCCAAGAGGAGGACACAATTAAGGTGGAAACTGGACTTTGGCAGCTCCAAATCCTATCAGGCTTTGCAAGCTCCCGTCAGTTTTAAGCGGCCACAGTCTTGAAAGCATGTCCGGTGATTTGCCCTTGCCTCTTTGCCCATCCAGGCCACCGGCGACTACATGGGTGTCATCCTGAAAGACCACAAGGTGCAGTGCATCTATAAGCTGGGGGATGAGGAGCCAACGCATTTAACCGTCGACGAAGAGATCGGGGAACAGTTTGCAGCTGTCAGCATCAACAGGTACAGAATGCGGGGGGGAACGGGAGACAGATGGGATGTGAGCGTTCCAAGTCAGTGTGACTTAGAATTGGGGGGGGGGGGGGAATCAGCCACAGCCCTCATCAGGGTAATAGAGGTCCCTTTAATAGAGGTTTAATGAGTGAAAATGGGCAGTTGGAAGCTTCTCACAGCATGGAGCTAAATGACGGTGGTTGCTTGCAGATCAAACTGATGTCAAAGGGAGACCTGGAGAGGCCAGTTTAAAAGTTGGTGCCCCTGTGTCGAGGGGAGGGGCTGTCACTAGTCCTGCATAATCCCTCCTGGTGCTGATTGCCATTTCTGCAATCCCAGCTGGCACGCATCTTTATGATATACTGCAGGAGCTCCCGGGTCAGTTCCTGTTCTCTCCCTTCTCAATTGTGAACACGGGTGGCATAAAAACACAAGAAGGGCGCTGCCGGATCAGACCAGTGGTCCATCTAGTCCAGCGTCTTGTCTCACACAGTGGCCAACCAGTTCCTCTGGAGGACCAACAACAGGGCATAGAGGCTGAGGCTTTCATAAGGACATAAGAAAGCCCTGCTGGGTCAGACCAGGGGTCCATCTAGTCCAGCATCCTGTCTCACACAGTGGCCGACCAGTTCCTCTGGAGGACCAACAACAGGGCATAGAGGCCGAGGTCTTTGTAAGAACACAAGAAGAGCCCTGTTGGATCAGACCAGGGGTCCATCTAGTCCAGCATCCTGTCTCACACAGTGGCCGACCAGTTCCTCTGGAGGACCAACAACAGGGCATAGAGGCCGAGGTCTTTGTAAGAACACAAGAAGAGCCCTGTTGGATCAGACCAGGGGTCCATCTAGTCCAGCATCCTGTCTCACACAGTGGCCGACCAGTTCCTCTGGAGGACCAACAACAGGGCATAGAGGCCGAGGTCTTTGTAAGAACACAAGAAGAGCCCTGATGGATCAGACCAGTGGCCCATCTAGTCCGGCATCCTGTCTCACACAGTGGCCGACCAGTTCCTCTGGAGGTTCAACAACAGGGCGTAGAGGCTGAGGCCTTCCCCTGATGTTGCTTCCTGGCTCTGACATTCAGTGGCTTACTGAAAAAGTGAGCAGTGACTCACAAAAGCTCATCCCCTGCCACAAATTTTATTAGTCTTTAAGGTGCTACCAGACTCTTGGTCTTTTCCACAGGTACAGGCAGACTAACATGGCTACCCATCTTGATCTGTCTCTGAATGTGGACCTTACCTTTAAGCCCCATGGCCGCTGATAGACTGGCGCTTTGAACACAAAGCCTAACATTTTAGTATGCTGTGTGTTGCCAAGCATCTTGCTCATACTAAATAAACGTGTACAAAGTACCTGTCAGAGCATTTCACCTGCTTTGTCTTGGCAGGGTACAGTAACTCTGGGTGGGTACTGTTATTATCCCCATAATGCAGATTGAAGGCGGGCTAAGGGACTTGCCTAAGACCACCCCTGTGGTTTTGTGGCACAGGAGACGATTGCCGCCAGGACTTCCTGATTTACAATTGAACCTCCGGGCCATTAACACTACGCTGGCATTCATAAGGAAAAATAATGCAAGTCAGGGCCAGTTCCAGGTTCCAGTGGGCCCTGGGCAGAGAGTTCCCTGGGGGGCCCTTCCCCATCTCTGCTTGCCCCTTTTCCACTCACACCTCCCTCTCCACCTGCTTGCATTCTCCTCCTTGACTACCTAACCATCTATCCTTCCCCCACCCGCTTGCTCATGTTCCAGTCCTCCCAGTGCTCGCCCTCCTTCCCTGACTATGTTGGGCCATGCGTGCAGCTGGGAGTGTGGGTGGTGGGAAGGCTCACAAGGTGAATTAAAAGGATTGATAGGCAAGCTCTATAAAATCCTAATAAAAGGAAATAAGGATACCTGTTGCAAATCCCAATGTCAGTGGCATCAAGATTGTAAAAAAAAAACATTCACAGAAGAACAATGGAATTCAGTTTGGTCATCCCCTAGCAACACATCATGCATTTTTAGCATTAGGTTTACCTCATTCAAAATACTAAACAGATGGTATATGACACCAGTCATCTTACACAAAATAAATCCAAAATTATCAAGCAAATGTTGGGAAAATTGTGGCGCTACAGCAGACTTTGCTCACTGTTGGTGGGCATGTCCTCGAATAAGAACGTACTGGAGGGAGATATTAAAACAAATTTCATTAATAACTACTGTAAATTTACCTTGTGATCTGGACTCCATCCTCTTGGAGACATGGCGTGCAGCTGTAAGTAACAAAAGTACAGAAACATTAATTTCTACCTTATTGATGTTAGCAAAAATAACGATTGCGCAAAAATGGAAGCAAAAAAATGTCCCTACATTAACAGATTGGGGAAAAAAGAATCTGGGGTTGCTTCATCTATGGGCGTACTTCATATAACTCCTCGGCTCTGCTGTCAGAAAAATATCAAAAGTGGTTCCAGGCAGTATGGTTTCCTATGATCAGTTATTTAGAAAATAGCGAAACAACTCCAAGCAACCCGGCCTATAGAAATGTACTGTTCTTTTGATTGCATTGTACTGTATTTGATTATAATACAATCCAAAATAGCCTTAAAGTTAGCATAATTTCCTGTTTGTATCTGACCTGGCTAATGAAAACCTGTGATCTTCTTTTCTGTACCCTCATTGAATGTTATCTAGCGTTGAAATAGTTTTTGTATCGCTGTTTATTGCTGAACACTGTTGTAACAGTATTGGAAAAAAATTAATAAAATATAAATTTAAAAACAAAAAACAAGTAGATGGGCAGCAGGGGAGTTGAGCGGGTGGAGGGCGGCAGTGGTGCCCCCCCCCAAAAGACCCGGACGTTGGCAGCTGCCCCATCTCAGGGTATGCTGAAGCTGGCCCTGATGAAAGTCTTGCTGTTATATTAGTAGGTGGAAGCATCATTTGACTCTAGACTTACTCTGAGCTTGGAACAACTACCCAAAACTATCTTGCCATGAGCAAGAGAGAACTAGTACCCCCCGTGACGGCACTAACTCTGATATTGAGAGACTGATCAAAGCCCTTTGGGAGCTTGTTTGTTTTTAGTTTTTCTTTGTCCTGGGGACACGAGTCAATTAACTGTCATATACCGTAGATGCAATTGTCTTCTTAAGCTCATGCCATTAAGCATTGTCGGGTGGGCAACAAGGACCTCTGAAATACAGAAGGAATAGCATTCCCCCCCCCTCCTTTCAGCTGTGTCTGCAGCCAAAAATTGCCAAATGCAATGGGCTTATATAACTATTTGTGTACTACTGTTTTTTTGTACGATGGTTCTGTTTTTTGATCTGCTTGGTTTTGGGTTGTGTCGTCCTTTTTCTCTCTGCCCTTCAGGGAATTTTCAGAGTGCCTCTCATACACTCTGTTGCATTTCCAAGGCTAGTGTA